GGCGGGGCCCCGCCACGGCGGCGGGAAGGGCCAACGGCACCCCCCGGGCCTCGGCCCCTGCCCGTAACCTAGCCTGAGGAGAAAGAGCGAGTCCCGGCGGCGGGCAAGGCAACTCCGGCTCTGACATCCCCAGGCAGGGCAATGGGGAGCACTTGGGCATCGTCCGTCGCGCCTGCCCGGGCCCCGGGGGTAAACCAGCACCCATTTGGGGCTGGTGAAGTCCCGCGCGGGGCTCCGGAGGGGCCTCGCTGGAGCAACGCAAGCGTCGAGAGGCCGAGGGGCCCCGTCCGCCATGTGCCCTAACAAGCGGCTTGAGGGGGGGGGTGACCTGCATCCCAAAGCCCACCCCAAACGAGAGCAACCCCAACTACCAGGATGGCTCGAACGATCCTCCACGACCCCAGCGCTCCCGTTTAAATCGGCGAGGAAGATGTCGGCCGCAAAGGGGAAGGCGGATTTGTCCACCGACCGGCAGCAGCGACGGAGAGGTCGAGGCCCGGTTGCCGCCAGCCGAGGGGCACGGCCCCGCAGCGGCAGGCGGGGGGGGCGAGCCCCGGGCAGGCCCCTGCCGCCCTCCACTGTGCTTGCACGTGAAGCCAGGCGCTTCGGCAGCGGATCATCTCTTTTTCTCCTCTTTTTTTTTCCCTTAAGGAGTGCTGAACCAAATGCATCGCGATTTATTGGCTAGGAAAAGACACTAAGGGGAGGGAGTGATCCCGCTCCTGCGAGGTCTCCGTTGTCTCCATTAAATCGCTGTCACTCGCCTAGTCTGCGGCAAGTGTGAAACCCGGGCAGAGCGTCTCCCGGGCGTGCTGGGAGCTGAGGTTCCCTGCAACTTTCCCATCCCGCCGCCCCGCCCGCACACCCTCCACCGGACCAGGACACTGCAACGAGTCCCTGCCACCCCCCGACCCCCAAAACACCAGCACCCGCCGGCCAAGGGTGGCCAGGAGGCTGCTGGAGCCCCGGGCACTGCACCCCACCGGGCTCCTAGTTTCCCTGCCCGCCCGGCTGTGAATCGCTCCCTGCAGGACGCCGCTCCTCCCCGGAGGGGAGAGACACCCCCCCCCCCCCCGAGTTTCTCCCGTCCCCTCCCGCAGAGGTGAAGCCCCCGAGACAGCGATGCGCTCCCATTCAACCCGCCGGCAGCAGAGACTCCCCCGGCAGCAGCCCGCCCCTGCCCGAGCTCGCAGCCGTGCCTCCCCCGGCAGGATGGGGGGGGGGGGG